AAAAAATATTGCTTAAATGAAACTTCATATACAAAAAGAATAAACTCACCAATACTTGCAAATTGTATTGAACGTTTGTATACATCCTGTCAAAATATTGACCCAATGATTAAAATAATTTTTGACATAACAAAAGGATTAAAAACTTTATCCATAAAACAGCAAAAAATTTAAATATAAAATCAAGGCTATGCTAATAGATGAAGATGAATACAATTTGCACATCAGATCGTTTCCAAACCTTTCGATATTTGAGAAGAGGTAGGAAGTTGGAAACTTAGTGAGAAACTATTCAACAACAAAAATTGTGAGCAATATTGCAATAAAATCGTTTAAAGCAAACAATAAATTTTTATCAAATCATAAAAGGATACTGATTAGCTAACTGAAAAAAATATGAAATGTAGATTACTTAAGTAGCAATATGGCGCAGTCATTTTTTTTACAACCAACAGCTCCAATCTCAGTGGGTAAATTTGTAACCATGCTAAATTTGATTAAAAACTGAAAAAGTGATCTCTGATAAAATATTTTTTATGTTCAACATATAACTATTAAAAAGATAATAGATAGAATTCAAAATATCATCTACCTCTGACTAAACGTAAAGACGTATTTTTGTTGAAAATTTCAATACAAAGATTTTCAAATGTTTTTATTTATTTCAAACACCTTAAAACATGATGCCTGTCTGCGGATCATTTATTCAAAATTTAGAGCCGTTTACAAAATTGTTCACAATTAGAATTGACGAGAAGAAAGGTCCTTGACACTCGATTGGAAATGTCCTTCATGTCAATGGCCATGGAAAGGCTGAAACACCCAACATCTTTTCGCTTAACGCAAATTTCTTAGAGCTCAACTCGCGTTATATATCATAAAAGTCTCTACTATCATCACACTTCATATCTCCAATCAGTAACTGTTGAGTTCAACCATCCAAATAAGATTTAAACCATTCCAAAACCGAACCACCAAGACCAAAACTAAGATACAATCTATCTAGTAGAATCCTGTAGTCAACACAGTCAAACGCCGAAATCCTATCATGAGTGATATCTTCTGTACATCAATTGCTCAACACAAATCAGAGAAAATTTGTAACAACGCCGTCTCAGTAGAATGAAGCTTCCTAAAGTTAGACTGGTGGACAGGCAGCAACCTGTTTATCCTCACATGATCAACAATTTGTTTGGCTACCAATCGCTCAATAATCTTAAAAATAAAATAAGATTTGACACTGGTCTGTAATTACCGATCTCATCATGAGCCAGGTTGCTCCTTTTTAGAACAGGTCGGACAATAGCATGTTTACAACCACTAGAAAATTTGCCACTCTTCAAACATAAACTAACCAAAACTGTTAGAAACGGGGCAACAGACCAACATGTTTTTTAATGACGTTAGTCGGAATTATATTTTGCTGACATGACATCGCCGTTGAAATCTTAGCTACCTTTATGAGTTTGAATCAGTCATAGTGTTGTTATAACTGCGGGAATGATCAAATTGCGCTAAATCATTTATTATTTGATTATCGTGGTCCGCTTCCTAGCTTTTAGGCCGCACCCAGCAGGTTTCTTACAACAACACTCTCTCTGACATCAACAAACTATCGTTTGGTGTCCCCCAGGGATCTGTGTTGGGACCTCTGTTGTTTCTTATGTACACTGCTGATGTTTTTGATATCATTCAAAAATATGAGTTCAGCTCCCACGCCTTTGCTGATGATATTCAGTTATTGGTTTCTTGTCCTGTTGATTCGATTGATGCTTCTCTGAATGAACTGACTGATTGTCTCATCGAAATTGGATCTTGGATGAGTATGAATCAGTTAAAGTTAAATCAATCTAAAACACAAATATTACCAGTTGATTCTTGGCAGCAGCTGTCGAAGGTCAAAATTTCATCGATCAGTGTCGGCAATGACATCATTGAATTTTCCACATCTGTCCGTAGTCTTGGAGTTATTATTGACTCAAACCTAAAGATGGATTTACATATTAATAATTTTGTGAGGGTTTGCTTCAACCAACTCCGTTTATTACGCAATGTCAAAAAATCACTAAACACGTCTGTTCTTCAAAGTTTGGTTTCCTCTTTCGTCTTTTCCAGACTGGACTACTGCAATGGCCTTTTTTATGGTGTAACCAAAAGGTCTTTTTCAAAGCTTCAGTCAATACAGAATCGTGCGGCCAAGCTGGTTTTGAGTGGTCCGTGGTTCGATCATGTTACGCTTATTTTGAATAGATTGCACTGGTTGAGGGTTGAAAAACGTGTTTCCTTCAAGTTGGCAGTTTTGATGTTTAAATGTGTCAATAATACAGCACCTCCCTATATCATCGATAGATTGGAATCATACAAATCTCATTTTTCAAAATATACCTTCCGATCAACCGAGCGCAATTTATTTTTTATCCCGACCACAAAGTTGGTGACGGGTTCCCGCAACTTTGCGGTTCTTGGCCCGGTTGTTTGGAATGGTTTACCTCCATACTTACGTGACCCTAACCTATCATATTTACAATTTCGAAGTCAACTTAAAACTTATTTATTTGCACAATGAATGTCCGTCTTATTTGTCTATGATTTAGTAGCGCTTTTGAGATTCAACAATAAAAAAGCGCTGTATATAAATTTCCGTAATAATAATAATATATATATATCTTATTTTTATTTTTAAGATTTTTGAGCGATTGGTAGCCAAACAAATTGTTAAAAAATGAATATCTCTTCAACAATTCTTAGAAGTATATATATATATATATATATATATATATATAAAATTTCAACATAACATACCATTTTAGAGAAGCATATCGCAAGGTTGGACAACAGAACTGATACTTCTTCATCATTGCTTTTACATTTAGGCAAAGCTGTTTTAAATTTGTATGCAGCATTATAAACGTCGAGAGCTCGGATATAATCTTTTTCTTTAAAAAGTTTTTTTCCCATTGTTTTTAAAAAATCACATTTCATCTGCAATTCCTATAAAGTATAAAGATGTTTCTTAATGTAGTCTTCAAAAAGCATGTAACCTAGAGATCCACTATGAGTAAAAAAATGTTTGCTTCTCTAATCTTAACCCAATACTATTGTAAATCCATGATAGGAGCAAAGGGGTAAAATTTTGTTTGAGTTAAAATAGATAAATCACAGCTTAAAACAAATTTTCTTTTACACAGGATGGATCTCTGGTTAGACTTAAAAATTAAAATAAATTACCTCATCAGAAAGAAACATTTCAAAGTTTCTGAAAAGATAAATAAAAAGTAACATAGATTTTCATACACTTATTAATAAATTAATGAATCGTTATGACATTGAGTATATATATATTCATAAAAATAACTAAAAAACAAAAAAATAAACAAAGCTCCAGTAAACATTGCTGCCTGCTCTAAAGTTTCAGAATATGAAGTGACACCAACAACAGTAACCACTCAATCCTGGATCAAAATTCCAGGACTGAAGTAACGAAAATGCTTGAATAGATTATTAGTTCTTGGCCCAAAAGTTAAACACAAAGGTCAGATTTGTAAAACAACTGCCAAGGAACTTAATGAGCATTAATTTTTTTAGTAAAAATGATTTTGACTATATCATCTATTCCTTGTTTTCATCTCTTTGGTTGTTAGTATTATAGCTGCACTTACAAATCTACTACATTTTAGTAAGAGATTTTTTATTATTTTTAAAACATTTCACATTAACATAAGCTTTAAAATTTCATTCATTTCGTGAGGTATTGAATAATTTGCAAGGTCTCAGTTTAAAACTGCAATTCAGATGGCTGCAGTTTGTTTTTAATTTTAATTGTTATATAAATATATATTTATATAACTATTGAATTAGAAATATTAAAATTTAACACACATTATGTTAATTTTTCCAATCAGTTTTCATTAAATTTAGATTATTATTAGTTTCTTTAATATGGATTTTGGTCACATTTTTAGACTGATTTTATCCAGCAAATCTCATTAAAAAATTAATTAAAAATGTATTGGTTTTTCATCAAACAAAATATTTGAGTGGTTTATATAACTTACTCAAATAATAACTACTTTATATAACTTACATTCCTTTACTTTTGAATACTTTATCTTTACACTTATTTTAGTTTGAATATTTTACAAATTGATATCACTTCACTTGAGTCCATTTACTTAATGTTGATCATTATGTTATATTACATTATGTTTTTTATGTCATACATATTTTATTGCATTCAAGTTTAATTTTATTTCAACCTTTAATAAAATTTAGTTGATTGAATTTTCTTAATTTCAAATAAATATTTAATATTAATTTTATAAAGTAAGATAAAAAAAATAAGTGATAAATTCAATCAACTTGATTAATAAAATAAATATTTCAAAAATTACAAATAAAATTACAACTTTGAATTAGCCATTATGATTAAGTCTAGACAACTTCTTTCACTTTCTGTAACCTGAGGCTTTAAAATCCAGGATGGCATACCCACACTTTTTAGAAAGTCATCCATGTCCATCTTTCTATCTTTTACTACTTACAGTTAACTTTATTACGATTAGTATAAGTCATAAGTATATCTTTATTTATATTAGCTACAGTTTTTTTTTAATTTTTGATTTGTTCACTTGCTTTTTGATTGTAGTATTAGTCGGATTTGTCAAAAAAAGCAACTAAAAAATTGAAATTCATTAAAATAAAATATCTTAAATTCAGATTAGATTATTAGAAACATGCGATTTCTTTGAAATGTCATATCACATTTTTCAAAACATTTCAAAAACTCGATTTAAAACATGATTTAAAAGCCAAATCAATCACAATCGACTTTCGAAACTGCGTAAAAACGAAACGCAAACTGGGAATTTCCCAAAAATACAAATATATATACAGGTATACAGGGTGTGTTAAAATGTTTCGTATGACCAAAGACTCAAGTTAAGAAAAAAGTTAAATAAGGGTATATTACTCTTTCTAGGTTAAAACATCGCATTCAATACATGCTAAACAACGCATCACGCGCCCAACACGAGAATTTGATAAGCGAGAATTTTTTTGCCATATTCGAACCAGATTACCACACGTTCTGCGAAACAGCAGCAGGTGATTTTAACCACTAGGCTATCACGCCTCCCACATCCATAATTAATTGTTATGCAATTACAGTTGAATACAGTTGTTTAATTAAATAAATTATTATTACAATTGTTATTATTGTTGTTGTTATGATTATTGTTATTGTGAATTTTAATTTGTCTCATTAAATGGCTGTAGGACATCAATTTTAATTAACAAATACTCTAATTATACTATCAATCAATCAATCAACCATTTTATCAATCAATCAATCAACCATTCTTTCAATCAATCAATCATTCAATCAATCAACCAATCAATCAATAAATCGATTAGTTTTATATTAATACACACAAAAATCGATAGAATAAAATGTAAGATGTTCAACATAACTTTTATTATTATTCTTTTAGAAAAAATCAGAATCAGATAACGACGACAAAACATGTTCATCGATCTGCAATAGGCTGTTATTTTCCGTCATTAATTTACAGTAATTTTTGAAGATGTCGCCGACGATTAGAAACGAGAACGAACTGGAAAATTCAATATGAGACTATAATGGGTTCCATTGGAATTCCATTCAGCGAATGGGACTTAATGAAAGGTTATACGATAACCATTGAAGACATCGTTGAGTTCTGCATAGCAACTGATCGAAGGGATAATGTGCAACATGCAGCTAAGACTGGTCGTCAACACTTTTACCGCTTTCATGTTTTGGTATTGGAAAAAAGTTTTTTTTTCGAGCATTCAACTAATTATTGAAAAAATTTTCTCTCTGCAGAATGAATTGAATGGATAAGAAAAATTAAAGAAGTAACTATCCATTTGGCATACACAGGGTCAAATTTAAGAAGAGCAGGCGAAGAACTTCCAAGAGCTTCTCCATCCCCATATGTAAGTGATCCAAGCTTCACACTAATATATGATAACATATATTACGTAAATACAACGGGTCAGCAACAGTCATGTTTTTTGTCAAATTGTTTTTGTTTCAATTTTATCTAAAACAATTGCACAATCATTTCAATATTTTGAAATAAATTCATTTGCTGATAAAATATTTGATAAAAATTGACTTTTTCTGAACAAGTCAGGGACCTTCCTTTTTTTGCTCCTGGGTTTCCAGACCACAAAATGCATTCTAAATCAACTACTGCATTTTTAAAAATTCCCATCAAATCAATAAAAGACCACAACTTGCCTAAAAAACTTCCATTCAAACATTATGTTATATCGTTTTTAAAATATTACCAAAGGTTTTGAATATAATTGCCTTTGTAAGCTATCTCTTCCCAAATTCTGGTCTGTAACTTTTTTGAGTTAGTGTATGAGGAATAAACGTTGAATAAAAAATTAGTAATCATGGCAAGACCATCAGTGAAAACTTTAGCCAGTCGGTTTTGGCGCAATTAACGGTTACGAGTAACTATTGAAAAAAAGTTAAAGGCTTGTTGTTAACTATTTTAAAATCAAGTAGTCATAAATTACTTCCTTATTACGGAAAGCGGTTATTAGCTTGATTTCTTTTATTGAAATATAACGCATGTTTAACCCAAATAATAAAGTTAAACTCCGAATATATTACAACAATAAAAAGACGTCTCACTTAATACTGAAAAACAACTGTAGTCCTAGAGATAACTCTGTGCTAAGGCGTAATCACGTAATATATGAATTTAATTGCCCCTTTGACGGCTGTGCACGTCAACATGACTCATATACCGGGATTACTACGACCTCATTGACTAGAAGGCTTACGATGCATAAACAGAGTGGTGCAATCAAATCTCATTTGGACTCAACACACTCAATCACTATTAGCCGTGAAATCCTCGACAGTAACACCAAAGTAATATACCAGAACAGCAACTACACGCATCTTAAAATTGCAGAAGCAGTCCTAATTGACATTAATAAACCAAAAATAAATATACAACAAAAAATGACAACCTCACTTCCAACCCGGCGCTTAACCAACAACGAAAACAAAGAAGTAATAAAAATTAGCATTGTAAATAGTGTAAATCGATGAAGAAAAGGAGATCAAAGAAGATGACCAGCCAATAAAGAAACCTGACACCTAATTTCCATCTATGTTCACTTTGACAAAGTCAATATTTCCCTATATTAACAGCAGAAAGCACTGATGATGATTCATCCGGAATCGATTTATGGCCTTATTTGCAGCATGAATTCGGAAAATAAGTTTATTTTGAATTTTAATAAACTAAACGTTCACCAAAAAACTTTAGTGAGAAAAATTGAAAAAACGAACTACAAACATCTTAACGCCAAACATTCGGTAGAATTTATAGAATATTGTAAAAATTATGGTCTGTTACCAATATATATATATATAGATATTATTATTATTATTATTACGGAAATTTATATACAGCGCTTTTTTATTGTTGAATCTCAAAAGCGCTACTAAATCATAGACAAATAAGACGGACATTCATTGTGCAAATAAATAAAATTTAAGATGACTTCGAAATTGTAAATATGATAGATTAGGGTCACGTAAGTATGGAGGTAAACCATTCCAAACCATCGGGTCAAGAACCGCAAAGTTGCGGGAACCCGTCACCAACTTTGTGGTCGGGATAAAAAATAAATTGCGCTCGGTTGATCGGAAGGTATATTTTGAAAAATGAGATTTTTATGATTCCAATCTATCGATGATATAGGGAGGTGCTGTATTATTGACGCATTTAAACATCAAAACTGCCAACTTGAAGGAAACACGTTTTTCAACCATCAACCAGTGTAATCTATTCAAAATAGGCGTAATGATCAAACCACGAACCACCCAAAACCAGCTTGGCCGCACGATTCTGTATTGATTGAAGCTTTGAAAAAGACCTTTTGGTGACCAGGGGCGGATCTAGGTAATTGGTTTTGGGGGGGCAAGCGATGGGCAAGGGGTAGGGCATGGGGGGGCCAGACATGCTGGAGTGTTTTGTGTTTAAAAGTACACAACAAACAAATTAAAACATATTCAAAAAGATTTAATATATATATATATATATATATATATATATATATATATATATGTATATATATATATATATATATATATATATATATATATATTCTTATGTAATGCAATTATTAAAAATTAAAGTTTATTTAGGTATTATTTCTTTCTTAAGCACTACTAAGGTGCAGCGAATAACTTAATTAATGTTATTTCACTCATCCTTTGGTGCAATATTAATTGCCTGTTTCATTTGTTTTCAAATCTGATTATCTAAATGACGAATTATCGGTTCCGATTTTGGTGATTCATAGCACACATATTGGTAGGAGCTTGGATAAACCTGTCATTATCCAGTCCCACATTTCAAGGCATACCCAGTTCATCAATTATAAGATTACTCAAACCATCAGCAGTTAGATCATGAGCAGGCACAAATCCAATAAATGCTTCGCATACGGCGTCACGTACAAAATATCGTATTACTAGGCTAACCTGTTCTGTTTTTCGACAGTCTTTCGTTTCATCTACCATTATTGCAAATTGAACACTCTCTTTGACTTCATTGATGATTTGTTGCTGAACCATTGCTGCCATGCAATGAAGTATTTCATTCTGGATCGTCTTGCTTGTGTATTTTGCATTTCCCGGCAATGAAGTTATTTTTTTACCTATTTCAGAGTCATACTTGCCAACCAAATTTATTAAATCGAGAAAATTTCCTCTGTTCATACTGCTACTGCTTTCGTCATGTCCTCTTTGGGCTATTTTGTGCACAGCAGTGTACTTGAGTACATCAATAACAGCTGCAATATAATGGCGATTAGCTTTTATTTGTTTCTCTCTTTTGTCTGATAACATATCCAGAATAGCTTGTTGTGG